TTACGACAACTGTCTTGTCCACGGCGTCTTTTATTCGTTCCACTGGGGTTTAGCAAGTGTGTTTATAAAGAGACGAAAATTGTTTGGGGACTATCCCCCACATTCTAGTTGAGATGGTATAACCCAAGTGGCAAAATGACGCTTGCTACTGTTGTTGCAGGTTGCCATTCGTTCTACTAAACCATTAGTCAAACGCCATCATGTCCCCTGGGAGGAGAGGATGGAGGAGGCCCATGAAAGAAAGAGGGAGAAGTACCAGGAGCTGGTGGAGGACTGTCGGAGGAACGGGTGGAAGACCAAGTGTATGCCAGTGGAGGTGGGCAGTCGGGGGTTTGCCAGCCACTCCCTGAGCAAAGCCTACAGCACACTAGGCATAACGGGTGCCAACCGTAGAAGGGCCATAGGCAACAACGTGGAGGCAGTAGAAAAAGCCTCCAGATGGCTCTGGTTGAAAAGGGGAGAGCAGTGGTTGTAGTGGGTGTAGCATGCCACTTGGACACAGGCCGAGGCTTGATCACCTTGGCCGGATCGCCTGGATGAGGGTGTCTGTTGCAAGACCCGAAACACCCAGTGAGTCCAGGATACAACACTGATGATGTGTCCAAGCTTGTGCATCAGCAGATGTATTGTTAACTGAACTGTCTGTATATGTATATATGTGTGTGTATATATTACATGTATGTGTGTGTGTGTATATATATATATAGATATATACATACATGGTCCGCGGGCCGGTTCTAATAATAAATCAATATCATCCCAGGGGCCACTGAAAACATTCTCGCGGGCCGGATTTGGCCCGCGGGCCGGCACTTTGACATATGTGTTGTACAGGGTGACCCAAAAAGATGCGTACCCATGAACATTTCAATTGTGACTTTGATTAAAAAGCTATTTATTTCAAATTACAACCACACATTATTCAGTTTATGGAAGACCATTCACCAGAGTTTCAGCCATTTCTGTCAATTTTTAGTCAATTTATGGCTTTCCCAAGATGTGTTCCAAATGTCCACCATTCCGTTGCAAGCAATCCTGTACTCGTCTGACAAAGTTGTCAATCACTTTTACACACTCCTCTTTCGGGATGGCTCTTATTTTTGCTGTGATGGCAGTTTTCAGTTCCTCAATTGTTTGTGGATTTCCCTGGTATACATTGCCTTTGAGGAAACCCCACAGAACCCCTCACTGCAGCAATGTTTTCTTCTGTCCTTGCACTCTTTTTCCTGCCTGAATAAGTTCCCCCTGTGGCTTTAGAACATAAGTTCACTACAGTCCCATGCTCTCTGAACTTCGTAACCCAACTAACAATCGTTGATTTTGGTGGAAAGTTACGACAATGGAAACGTTTTCGAAACTGAATCTGTACACTCTGGTATGATTTTGTCGCAAAATAGATCTCCAGGGAGAATGTCTTCTGCTGATTTATCCAAGACATTTTTGGGGCAACTATAGCTGAAAACGATCATCCATAGGTTCACCTTTCACGTCCTGCAACAGAAAAGACATTCGTTAAAAAATGGATTTTTTTTATCGAATAAAATATGGGTACGCATCTTTTTGGGTCACCCTGTATATACATATATATTGGTATCTATGCGTGTGTGTGCGCGTGGGTGTGTAGATACCTTTAGATATACAGTATATGTATACTGTAATTAAATTCGAACATAACCAGGTGTTCGAATGGCCAAGTCAAAGTCCAGGTCTGAATCTAATTGAGAATCTGTGGAAAGATTTGTAAACTGCTGTTCACAGACTCTCTCCATCTAATGTACCTGAGCTGGAGCTGTTTCACAAAGAAGAATCTGCAAAACTTTCTGTCTCTAGATGTGCAAAGCCAAACGTAACATACCCCAAAAGACTTGCGGTTTTAATAGCAGCAAAAGATGGTTATACCGGTACTTACATTATCAGGAAGGGTAAATATTTTCAGACTTCCTTCTTTGTAAAAAAAAAAAAAGAAAAAAGTATTAAATAAATAGATTTCGTTCCACTAAACGACTGTGCCCCACTTAGTGTTTATACTTAACCCCCCAGCCCCCCAAAATTATACTTTTTGTTTGAAACCTGAAATGTTGAAAAAAGGTCATATACTGTAGTTAAAAACAAAAATAGCTGGACTGCTGCTCAAACGAATAAACAAGGTGTTTATTTTGTGTTATTGATTTTCTGTTATACAATTAATTAATTAACTTAATGATCTGTTGTTATGCACTGCCTAATTTAGCTGGCAACAGTTGAATACGGGGAGGACCGCACTTTTCCCCCAATTTAAAGAACTGTTCTTGATGAAGTGTGACAACAATGTTGAAGAATCAACCCTTAATTTAATCCTATTTGATTATGTCAGTACTGTATGTTTTTATAAATGACAATTGTAAGTATTCATTTGCTGTTTTGGGTAAATGTGTGATAAATGGAACCAAATAAACTCGTATCTCAAGACACAGCTGATTTTTGTTTCAAATGTTGGTGGTAAGTGCAAAAAGTTGTAAGAAGAATATACCCAGTGATCGCACAGATCGCCGAAATACCATTTTTCGAACAGCGATGAAATATTTGTCTTTCATGACTTTCCTCCACCGATAAAGTAATCCCTCTTCGACGGAAAGCAGGATAAATAAATAAAACACGCACCTACACAGTTGGCAGGTAGTGTCCTTTTGTCCCCTCCTCCACCGGGCTCACGCCCTCCCCCGCTGCTTCTCACCTAGCTCACCTTACAGGTGCTCTGCCGACACACGATACCTGTGGAGCGCGGTCCACTGCACGCTGACATGGAACCAGCGTACCGCGGTCTGGGTCGCTGTGTTTGTTGTTTCTGGCTGGCTGTGGCCTTCGACGTCGTCGGACTGCTCGTCCTTCTCATCGGCGTGTTCGTGAATGTTTTTTTCTACGACCTGCTCATCTACGCCGGCGCCATCGTCATCTTCCTCAGCCTCGTGTGGTGGGTGTTTTGGTACTCCGGCAATATCGAGGTGCTCTCCGCGGAACTGGAGGATGACGTGGGCCTAACAAAGAAGGACAAGGGCGGTCTGAGCGGCATCGGCGGGGCGGTCCGGCGGCTGTCCAACCGCGTGTCCAGCGGCATCAGAAGTTCGTTGCGCAGGAACGGCAGCGCCGGCCGGAGGGGAGGCGCGCGGACGCCGGTTGCGGATCCGACTGGGGCCCCGCACTCGGAGCAGGTGGTCGTTGCCATGGCAACCTTGACGCCAAATGAGCCAACTTTACGGACTTCTGTCTCTTCGGTGGGGTGCTATGATGCGGAGATGCCTTCCACAGCAACAGAGACCTCACCTACGTAACGGAAGACCAGGGGTGAGGTCTTCGCAAAAGTGTATTTTCAATTTCTTGTATGATCTCTAAGCCTACATTTGGGTTTAAAGAAAATATTAGTGTTGAGCTCAAGATCACACTATCCAAAACCGAGACTTGCCCGAGACCAGGGCTTATTTTCTTGCCTAGTCCAATCCAAGTCTAGTGATTTTGTTTTGTCACATTCGAACTGTGTGGATGGGTGGAATTTTCTTACTACTAAGTACAGATACAAAAGGGCGTTTGCACCGTTGTGGGAAGGAAATGCAGCCAACTCGCAGCCAGTCAATGCAGTCGGCTGTCATGATAAAATCGCCTCGATTAAAACCCTCAGTCACCACACTACAAAAATGTCGGTCGTGTTGTTGGTGGGGGAGCGGGTGGTAGTAGCACATGAAACGAAGGTATTTGTTGTTTTACCAAATGTTTTTCTTTAAAAAATCAGCAAGAACATAAATGAAGTTGAAGAAGAGTAAATCAGTGCTGGTCTTGACAGAAAATCCAGAGTCCGGCCAGTGTGAGACCAAGACAAGACTTTTGAAAGTTGAATCGAGAAAAGACCAAAACCTTGAAAATGTGATCTTGAGACCAAGACCGGTCTTACAACACTAAAAACTAAACCTTCTATATCTTGCCATGCCACTGCAAACACAACACTTTTTTGGTCATTATTTTCAATTCAAGTCAGCGTTAGTTCATCACTTCCTGCCTGAAGCACCTGGGCCCTACTATCATTTACAAATTATTAAAAGGTTCATACTATACAAATGTAAAGTGCTTTTCTTTCATTTTATTTTACTCTAGCTCTTTCATTAACCTTTTTCCCTATTTGTGATGTAAAATGACATGTGGAGCACCCATTTTCGACAGTGGAATTTACAACATGTGTTTCATTGCCCTATAATTTACTCGGATGAAGAATTTCTCATTCCTCAAATATGTATTCTACTACAATGAATGATAATAATGAGGGTTTATTTTGAATTGACTGAGTGAATTTATGTGTTGGACCATAGTCAACGTAGAAAATGTGTTCCCACCACTGTGGTCAACAGTGCTCTTTACATCAAGTTAAGATTCATTGTCCCTTATGCCCGGTAATGTTCGGATCTACACTATACAGCAACGAGACAACTTATTGACAACACCAAAGTATTGCACAATATGATCTGAATTCATAATGGTCCAGTGGTTAATGCGTTGACCTCACAGTGCAGAGGTCGTGGGTTCGATCCTGGCTCCAGCCTTCCTGTGTGGGGTTTGCATGTTCTCCCCAGGCCTGCGTGGGTTTTCTCCAGGAACTCCGGTTTCCTCCCACATTCCAAAAACATGCACAGCAGGCTGATTGAACACACTAAATTGTCCCTAGGTGTGAGTGTGTGCACGGATGATTGTTCGTCTCTGTGTGCGCTGCGATTGGCTGGCAACCGGTTCAGGGTGTCCCCCACCTACTGCCCAAAGACGACTGGGATAGGCTCCAGTACCCACCGCGACCCTTGTGAGGATAAAATGGATTGGAAAATGGATGGATGGATATGAATTCAAAATGTCTCAACATAATAGATTACATACATTATAGCATATTATATTAAAGGCTGTATTCCAAGCTATTAACAAATTCTTTTTTTTTTTTTTTGGCTATTCTTACCAGCGCATATGGTTGTGCCCTATTTTAATGGATCTGAAATGCAAAACTAAATGCTCCTTTGCCTTGTAGTTTGCCAGTCACAGACCACAAAGTATTATCAGTAGTTAATCATTCACCTTACTTCGTTACTAGCTAAAAGACCACACCAGTTCAAACAAAAGAAACCTGATATGTACTTCCTTACATAGTCATCAGACACACTCTGGTGCAAAAGTCACGTGTCAATGACTTTTCTAAGTCCCTGATGATTTTGTATTTTTTTGTTTCACTTGCAGAAACTCTGTGAATTCATTGCTGACGCGGGAAGAGTCAAGTCGACTTGATTCAGTGATTTTTTTATTTTATTTTTAATATAATTGTATTTTATTTTCTATAATGTCCATGTTGATTCAAACAGGCAAACAGATGCGGTTGATGGATATCAATTTGCAATTGTCGTCACCATGATAAGGAATGATTTATATTTTCAATAAAAATGTTTATCTGTCTTTACCTTGGAAGCATGAATTCAGACTGTATGGATTTAATGTGATTGCGAGACCAAGTTGTAAAGCCCTTAATCGACGGAACTCACTTTGAGATCGTGACTCTCTCCACAGTTTTAATACCCGTCTAATAAATCTTTTTCGGTTTGTACAATACGTCTGACGACTACACATTTTGCTACTTTATTTTCATGAGATGCATATTAGCTTATTATAGGGTGACCTTCATTGCCGAAAAGCTTCTACAATAAAAATGTGTTAAATTATGTGTTATTAGTAGTAGTGATTGTTGTTAAGTGCTATTATTATTTAATTTTTTTATTAGACTGTATTTTGGTAGGACACTCCATTTTACCTTAAGTGTCAAAGCTAACTAACTGACTAAAACTGTAAATGGAATTGCAAACAATGAAATCTCATATAACTATTTCGATATTAGAGATTGGTGGTCAAAGCTTTATGAACAAAAAGGAGCGTCTTGCATTAAAGTGTTAGGAGGGTCTTGCATTAAGGTGTTATTGTGGTGACAGGTGAACACTTTTCAGTTTTTCTGACCTTTGTATCATCTAAGAGGCTTGGAAGTCAATGGTAACAGCGTCCTTGTTCCCACCAAGAGTGATAGCAAATGTCAATGAGTAACCTTTGGAATGGGTTGGCTTTATTGACTTTGCTTCCAAGTGACTGCGCTCACTCTTAACCTTGGCACTTCTACATCACTGCAAACAAAAGCATTGTTTAGTATTGTCATTGCAATTTAAGTGGAGTTGATATTTTTGTCATGGTAAAGTAAAAGTACTGTACACTTTCGTTGATCAGATTATTCTTTACCTAAAGTTGTGGTTAATTAGTGTGTATTTTTTTTAAATACACTTATACATTTACTCAGTGTGATATTTTCTTCACTAATTCCATTCAAACAAAAAACAAAATTGATTTAAGAGAAAGCCAATTTAATTCCCACTGTCAGTACACAAAGAGTACGCTTGCACACGTTATTTCAGAGGCCTCTTCAGGAAGTCCAATCTCCTAATTTTTTACGCCACCTTTCCTTCACCTTTGTTGGATTACTGTACGTCATCAGGTCAAGGAGAGATAAAAAAGAAACTACCTTTTCAACGTAAGAAAGGACAGCATTGTTTCAAAAGAATTGTATTCCACTTTTCCAAACTGACGTCATCGCACGATGGGGAGTATTGCTGACGCAAGTCTCTCGCTTTTGGACTTCACCTGCAAAGTGTTAACTTAATCATAAAATCAAAAAGATGCTGATAATATATTTTTTGTGAGTAGATTGAGAGTATCACTGATGATGTTCTTCTTTGATTTTGGAATTGCCTTTTCTCTAATAATTTATGGAAAGGTGTTTATAATGATGGGGGTAGCAAAAGTAAAGGCAGTTGTGGGTCCAAAAGTGAATCGGAGACAGTTGGCAGAGGGTAAAGAGAGTATTTAATAAGAAGAGGGTCTGATGGTCCAGCTCAGGACACAATGGTGGCTTGCAAACAAGAAGGTGAAGCTCCGTCTTAGTATTGGAGAACTGACGACGAGAAAAAGGAATGGCACGAAGGATAGGTGTAGAATCAAGCAGTCCTTGGAGGAAAACGCGAAGCCAGACTGGGCAGGGAAGCACTGGGAAAAAAAAGACAATCAAAATCAAATGGTTATGTACCAAAGTCCAAAAATGGCAAGCATGTGGACTGTTGATGGCCAAAATACCACACATAATGCGTGAATCACCTGTCGACTGCTTGCAGTTCAGCAGAGGTCTTATACACAAGAGGTGATTGCTGATCAGTGGCGGTTGTGGGAAAACCCTCCCACGCTGCCCGCACACAAGTCAGGCGAGTGGACCACTACACCATCAGTGACTGAATACATTGCAACTCGTCTTAATTTATATAGCACTTTCAAACAGCTGCAACTAATGCTCTTTACAGAACATTCAATGTGAATGAACAAAAATCGCTTTTATCATTTTTAGTTTTACAAATTCTACAGAGTCTTTACTTACAAAAAAGATTGCCAAGAAAGCATGCTCCACCTCTTTATCTACAGCACCACACAAAGTAGTTTAAGAAGCTGTAATTGAAATCAAATTAAAGACAAAATGTCATTTGGAAAATTTGATTTTCAATTGACAACGCCCGAATTCTAAATTATATTTTCACTCAAACAACCAAACAACAGAGCGTAGTTGTTTAGTATTTATTTAGTAGCAGTGGCGGGCCGTGCATTTCAACCTTAGGCCTTCAGTGACGTCACATACATACACAATATAGGCTCGTCAAGAAGCACTTAATTTCAGGAGCATTTAAAACCATCAAGTATGCATTCACAATTAAGAGCAGGAAACTAAATTTTCAGATAGTCAAAAATAAAAAGATGATTTAAAAATACGAAATAAAATGCCACCCAAGTCTCTCCAATAAATTGCGCAATGTCGCAGTTTCATATAAGACACCAACCAAACAACAACAAAACAAACTATTCTTTAAAAATAAACAGATCATTTGCATTTTGAAAATCGGCGATTCAACAGCAAATAACTGAAAAAAAATGTTGAGCAGCTGAGATTGAACGAGCTTTCGTGCACGAAGGTGACTTCAATGCGCCATTATAAATTGCAGGTGAGCAGATTTATTTGATACACGTTTGTCATTTTATTTCGTTACCATGAATTTAATACTAACGAAATAAAATGACAAGAA